TCAAGTGCTTTTGCTCCAGCTAATTCCTATGATGCAGGCTGAGACTCAACTTGGTCAAGATATTCAGCTTCGGAATCCCAATCCCAATCCTTAACCCTAACCCTCCTAATATACTACTTGAACTATCACTTATGATAAAATCAGTCCGCAAACATACAAGTAAAGATAGAGTGGAGAAAGGAAATGAAATACTTTAATTCTAGAATGGGAAATCCAACATAAAAACAAGTCTATGAATTCTTACATACAATGAACTTTTGCTTGTTCAACCCTCTGTTCTGGTGCTCTTCAGGTATGCTGCATTACAACACCAATTCTTCTCAAGCAGCATGACTCCATACAGGCTGGAGTTGACACCCAATGTCTCTGGAGGTAAGATGCTAGTGAAGAATAGAGCTGCAAACCTTGGGTCTAAAAATCTAAACTACCATTAGATGACAGGAAGGAACTAGAGGGCTTTGTGTCTGCATGATGCATCCATTTTTTTGTCTATGATTTCAGCCAGATATGGTATAAACATGTCCTACACTAGAGGTTAGTTATTTTTTGAGGGGGGGGGGCAACATCATATTTTTGGAGGTGATTCTAAGACAGGGGTCTTCAAACTTGGCCCTTGTGGACTTCAACTCCCAGAATTCCTCACCCAGCATGCCTGGCTGAGGAATTCTGGGAGTTGAAGTCCACAAGTCATAAAAGGGCCATGTTTGAAGACCCCTGTTCTAAGAAATGCAGCCAGTAGGACCAGGTCATATTAGCATGCAAGTTACCCTTTTCAGCATTTTTCTGATTTATTTATGAATGCGATGAATGAGCAATATTTAACAAATAATAATAATAATAATAATAATAATAATAATAATAATAATAGTAATAAAGTTGGAAGGGACCTTGGAGGTCATCTTGTCCAACCCCCTGCTCAGGCAGGAAACCCTATACCATTTTGGACAAATGGCTGTCCAGTCTCTTCTTAAAAATTTCCAGTGTTGGAGCATTCACGACTTCTGGAGGCAGGTTGTTCCACTGGTTAATTGTTCTAACTGTCAGGAAGTTTTTCCTTAGTTCTAGGTTGCTTCTCTCTTTGATTAGTTTCCATCCGTTGCTTCTTGTCCTGATGATGATGAGGTTAATGTTTGAATTCTACTTTATCAATCTGAATTGGATTAACATTTATAAAAAAAAATAGCAAAAGGCTACTCCACAGATGCTCCATAGTTTGCTGCCCAGTTGCAACAGCGAGTTGGTGAGTGGTCTGCAAATAAGCAGTTCATGGCTTCTATCCAGCTGCTGGTCATTCTTCTCCTAAAGGAGTAAAAATTCATAAATGGCATTTTTCCCATTAGGGGAAAGCGCATGCTGGAGGTTCTTTTTCCCCACCAATGTTGTTCCTTCACCTAAGGAATGCACTGTATTTAGCCAGCAAACACTAATAGAGTTCAAAGAAGAGGGGGGGAATTTGTCTTAGCCTATTAAGAAGGGGACAACAATCACCTACTGCCTTTCCAGTTAATTAAATTCATCAGGGCAGGGAGGGGAGAAACCCATTAATTTGAGAGGCCTGGATTTTCCTCCTGCTGTTTCATCACTGCATTGGCCAAGAATTGGAACATTTCTAAGTACGGTAAGAAATTGCCCTTCTGCTGCCTTCAGCTGAAGTGGAAGAGCCCCTTCTGGTCTAGAAACAGAGAAAAGTAAGAAACAGTTTACATAAAATCCAAAAAGGATTTTAAAAAAACATCTGACTTAACAAATGAAAATGTTTTTTTTTTTTTAAACAAAAAAAGGGAGAAAGAAATATTGTCAGGTTACATCATCAGCAAAAGAATATCAAACTGCTGCAGAGGTCAATATATTTTAGAGCGATCCAGTTCCTTAAAAATGAGGATATTTACAACCCACTATAGAATTAAGAATTATCAATGGGTCTTGAATGAAGCAGGGCATAGCCATTCTGTTTGCTTAATAAAATCTGCCTACCACCTGAAACCAACCATGGCTGTAGGCAGTTTACCGAGTTTACATAGTAAAAATGGAACACAAAATCAGAATACTAATTAACTGGAAGGAAAAGGATGAGATCATGGAATTATGGAAAACGGGGCCTCTGAGTATATTAATCTCCAAATGCTCTTTGGAAAAACCTCATTTCCATTTGCTTCCAGGAGATCCTAAGGAGGAAGACTTTTATGCTTCATGGGCAAGGCATTTTAGAAGAGAGACATTGCTATAGAGGACAATGTCATCTGGGCACCTCATGAAGGGCAGAAACTATTGGGGTAAGGTGTTCCTAATATATCCACATCATACAAGGCTTCATAGGTAGGGACCAGCACTTTGAACTGCACTTAGAAATCTATTGGTAACTGCGCAGCTCCGTGGTAGTACCAGTGACCACTGAGCACTCATGCCACTGGGTTCTGAACCTTTGAAATTTTTGATTGATCTTCTAGGACAGCCCCCTATGGAGTGCATTACAGTATGCTCGTTGAGAAAGAACAAAGGTATGAGCAACAATCTTCAATGCATTGTGTTTCAACTAAGGGTGCAGTTGGTACACCAGCTGAAACTCTACAAAAGCCCTCCAGGACCTATGAGTCCAAGAGGACCTCCAGATTGCAAGTTTGATTTTTCTGAGGAGTACAACCCTGTCAAGAGCCAGAGATGGTACACTCCTGAAAGCAATTGGTCTCTGCATTAACAACCACTCTATCCGAGCCTGTTTTCCCTTATTCAGACTCTAGACACCAAGTTGTGACTTCCACTACATCTCCCAATAGTCCCAGAATAGAGATATGTACCATCTGCATATTGAAGACACCCCACACCAGCAGATGATCTTTTCCATTAATATAGAAGTTGAAAAAAAGGGTTGAACTTTGAGACACTCCATAACTAAATGGTTTGGAGCCTGATCTCTTCCTCCCTTCCCCTCATGCTCTCTGGTCCAACCTACTCAGATAGTTGAAGGATATCTTCAACTCCCACCCTTGCAACTGGTCCAGAAGGCTACTGTGGTCAACAATAATGAAAGCTGCTGAAAGAATGTGGAGCAAAACAACATCCACACAACCTCCATCCAAGCATTTCCATAGGTCATCCATAACAGCAAAAACAATAAGAGTTTCTTTCCCATGTCCAGATCTGAACCCATATTACCAAGGTTCAGTTAATCCATGTCTTCTACAACTGAAATCCCATCAGTTTCTCAATAAACTGGATTAGTTATAAAGCAGTATCATATGATGATAATTGTCCAGTTTTGTTGAATTCAGGTCTCCCATCATAACCTTGTTGGAAACAACAAGTTTTTAAGGGTTTTCTGAATGGTGGAGAGTAGCAGCCTGCTAGATTTCAGGATGTTAGCTAGGAGAAGCATGGAACCAATCCAAACACAATGGAGTTCAGATCACAGTTGACATTGTCCACTTCTTCAGGATCCACAGCTCAAAAGTTTCCCCAAATATCACTATAAAACAACTATACTAGTGGTGGCAAACCTGTGGCACGGGTGTCAGAGGCGGCACTCGGAGCCCTCTCTGTGGGCACATGTGCCGTTGCCCCAGCCTCACCTCCCCCCACTACCCCCTCCTCTCCAGCAGCCCCCCTGAAGGAGAGTCGCCCCTGAGCGTGGCCCAAACAGACCAGCGCAGGCAAGGACATGGCAGCCAGGCAGCGTAGACAAGACTCTGCCCTCACACCTCATCATGCACAGTTGATGCTGCAGGGCACGGGCAGAGGGCATGACTGCCATAGCACTGCTGGGCTGCCTGGGTGATTTGCGGCGGGCCCTGGAGGCAGTGAGTGGTCCTCTGGGCAGGCGGGATGGGGAATGGGGGGCAGACCGGGGGTGGGGTGGGGGGGTGGAGCAGTGGCGAGGCCAGTTTTTGGGCGCTCGGTCTCTAAAAGGTTCGCCATCACTGAACTATATCATCTCAATATATTCTTTCCATTCAGCTTCCAGCTTGCAGGATTTTGCCTAGAAATTCTTTACCAGGTGATCATAACTTACACTCCCTCAGTCTTCTGCTTCAGTCATGCTTTGCCTCCTTATTTCAAAATGAAGCCAAACCATTTTGTTTAAAAATCTTTCAGCAATAGTCTGTGCTCTCATTTGTCAATATAAAATATTAACTAACAACTGGTTACCACTGTGTTCGTTACAGCCATGGTGTCTTTTAAGAACAGCATCACTAATAGCATCATTATCATTCTGGAATAGTTATATAATTGCTGCTGCATATTCTGAACTGCTTTCAGTTTGCCCCCACAGCAAACATCGGGGTTTTTGTAGCTGCTACATTTACTTATGTATATAAGAATACATCTAAATTATTATACAATAATAATAATGATATGATTATATATGTATAAAAGAAAAACCACTTCCATATCCTCTCTTGTACCCCAGCAGGTGGGATTCTCTCTCTCTCTCTCTGTGTGTATGTGTGTGTGTGTGTGTGCCTTCAAGTCAGTTCCAATTCTCAGCAACGTTTTATTGAAAGTGACATGTTACTCCTTTTATTCTAGGGCTGGGAGAGAATGCCTGGCCCAAAGCCATCCATCTGGCTTTGGGCTTAAGATGGGACTACAACTCACTTGAGCTGTGGTGGCGCAGTGGTTAGAATGAAGTACTGCAGACTAATTCTGCGACTGCCAGCAGTTCAGCAGTTCGATTCTCACTGGCTCAAGGTTGGCTCAGCCTTCCAACCTTCCAAGGTTGGTAAAATGAGGACCCAGATTGTTGGGGGCCATATGCTGATTCTGTAAACCGCTTAAAAAGGGATATGAAGCACTGTGAAGTGATATATAAGTCTAAGTGCTATTGCTATTGCTACAACTCACAATCTATTTCTAGCCTGACACCTTAACCACTACATTAAACTAGGTCTAAACTGAGAGGGTGTAGCTAATATTACCAGACCATGTCCAGTTGCCACTTTTGTGTTGCAGTACAAAAATGACGCACAATGACCCGAATATGTAAATGAAAGGCCCTTCCTTACCTTGGGGTCATGTATTCCAGACAATTCTTCATAGATTTTCTCTCCCACCATAACAGCAGCCAGATTAGCAGTGTATGTGGAGAGACAAAATAAACAAAAAATGGCCCAGAGATTCATTAGAAACCTTCCTGTCCAGCACTTTGGAGGTTTGATGGCAGCTGTCCTCCCAAACAAGATGGCGTAACAGACATTCAAAGCAGAGGAAAAGGAGAAAACCTTATCCCTGTTTCTACCCTTTGGGGTCATTCCAAAGGGGCTCTTCCATTCATACAGAGTCAGGAAGATTGCAGTGATGTGTAGAGCTACAAAGATGCCCAGCCACATGGTCCAGTGGAGCGGCCACATAAATGCTCCAATAGGAGCAGCTGTGTCTTTGGTCCTCACCAGGATGCCCAAACTGGTGGAAAAAAAAGGGCTGGTGAAATCAATCACTTGGCTACGGGCTGTGTTGATGCTGAAGGATGTTACCGCCATGTGGGCAGTCCCAGCCAGAAGATCACCAACCAATCCTGTCCACTGGCCATTTTTCAAACCACCATATTTCCCATCACCGACGATATACAGGTCAAAATCAAAGTTCATATCTTCAGCCAACTTTTCTAATAGGTCTATACAGTAGCCATAGCAACACTGCTTAAATTTGGTGGGCATTGTGTCGTTGCCTCCTTGGAGACTTTCAAAAAGAGCATCCAGCATAGCTGAATCATTGGTCAAGGGATCCAGGCAGAGTTGTCCTGCAGGACACAATCCTTCATCATCCACAGTTCTGGTGAATACAAAGGGATGTTCAATGAGCGTCACCACCCTCAGATGTAGCCTAGTTGGATGCTGGTTGTGATTCTTGTGCCTCTGAGCCTGCTCTGGCCAGATCCCATAATCCATGACAACCTTGCCTTCTTGCCAACTCCCCAAGCGAGTCCACATTGGGTTCCCAACAGGGTCATGTTGAAGATTCCAAATGAAGAATTTGTTTTCTGAACTAATGATGGAAGAACCTTTTACTCTGATGTGGCCACTGAGCCCATGGAACGTAGTGTTGGCTAAAAACCTGTAGGACAAAAGGAAGACGTTATGAGCAGATATTCAGAGGACAGAACTTTTCAACATCTTTTGGAACTGAGATTGTTCCCCCCCAACACATTTATGCTTTTTCTTCAAATGCGACAAGGCCAATTCAGATACCTCTTTGGGATGAACAAGATACATGCCTGCACTTCCACCTGCAGCTCTCATAGCACAGTGAGAGGCCTACATTGTAAGATTTTTCAAGTCCATAATAGGCAAGAAAGTCCCATGCTTTGGGAACTATATGAACATACGTATACATTTTGAAGGTCCTGGAATGGAAAGGGTATTTTTAAAAGTATGTCTGCCTTGTGCAATAGGGTTTTTTTTTTTGGGGGGGGGGGTCATTCAAGGTTGAAATTTACCAAGTTTCTGAGGCAAAATCACAACTTCAACAGGATTCAGACACAGAAATAAACTGAAATACAGACATGTTCTTAGGTGCTACGTTTCTTACCAACAGATGAACTGGACTTATCTCCTCCCTTTCGCGGAGGTGGCGTACAATAATTCCGTGCACAGCAGCACCGGCTACATGCCTTTCAAAGTAGCCACAGGGAAAGAATTTAACCCAATACCTGAATATCCTCAGTTGCCCTCCGCTTCACAGACACTTGATCAATGAGTGAGAGGGTGGGAAGAAGTTTGGAAAAACACAAAAACTGCTTTAAAAAAGACTTTTGAAACCTATAAAAAGCAGGCTGATAAAAAGAGGGCTCCCCAAAGAACATTCCAAGTTGGGGAAAAGGTCTATCTGTCAACTAAATATCTACGCCTCAAATTGCCCAGCAAGAAATTGGGACCAAAATTCTTGGGGCCTTTCCCCATAGTAAAGGTCATCAACCCAGTCACAGTACAACTAAAACTCCCTAAACTGTTAGGGAAAATTCACCCAGTTTTCCATTGTAGTTTGTTGAAGCCTTATCGGGGCTCCACTTTGAGACCTCCTCCAAAGAAGGCACCTGGACCCCTCGTAGTGGCAGGGCAGACCCACTATGAAGTGAAACGTATTCTTGACTCCAGAATCTTTAGAGGGAAATTACAGTACTTAGTACAATGGAAGGGATACCCATTGTCTGAAGCCACCTGGGTGAAATCTAGTGAAGTGAACGCTGACAGATTGATTGAAAGGTTTCATGTGAAACACCCCAGCAAACCGAAAGATAACCCTTAACATATGCTTTTGTTTACTTTACAGGATCTGTCCTTCTTGAAAGGGGGGGGGCAGATGTCAATGCTGCAAATATTGTATATTCTTGCTTTGACAATATGCAAAACTGTCTGGTATTTACTGGGTTAATACATAGCTTAGAGTGTGTGGGGGGGGGAAAGCCCGGGAAAGAAAGAGGAAGTAAACTTTTGACCTTCACACTAATTGGATAATGTGACTTGTGACTGCAAGATAAGGGAGGGGTTTAGCAAGAAAAGATTGATGCCAGCGAGAGGAAGTCAGATTCTGGGATCACAACGTCCATGATGGTGACCAACAATTTGTAGCTCTGAAATAAAGACTTTAGGAAACATGCCTGAAAGTTCTTTGAAGTGCTTCATTAGTCGGAACCTCTGACACATGTTTTGCTTGCTTCACCCAAGCATCTTCACCTAGAGTTCTAGCTTAGCTTGGCCTGCCTACTCTTCCTGTCTGTGATGGTATTCTGTATGGGCCTACAATCAAAATGCAGAAATCTTCTGATCCAAGGAAAGAAATAATTTGCATATATGGATGAAGAGTAGGAACAGAACCTTTTACCCAAATGCCTTGCCATCTGAGCTATAGATACTGGATGTCCTCTGTGTTTATAATATTCTTCAAATTGCATATGTTAATAAGTAGTAATTTGTTTGGCCAACAAGTGATCATTTCAAAGTATTATATAGACTTGATTTTGTTTTCATGACAGCAAGACGTCTAGCTGTTCCTTTCTTTCCATGTTGTTAAAATATAAGAACATCCTTCTCTCCCATTCGCCTTATTTATGTGGATTTCTCAATTGGTTATTGATTTATTTCAGGATGAAATAAACAAGAAAACAAGGTTCACTTGAACACATTTGCACAAAAGGAAAACTCCAAAGAATGAATAGAGATGAATGCAACCATCTATGGAGATGTCATTCAGGCTAATTTAAGAAGTGGGGGAGGTGGAGTTTACTTATACTCAGAGGTAGCAGAGCAGATAAATAGAAAGTGGGTTAAAATCTCCTGCTGAAAGAGAACATTTGTGCCCAAAGTACATTTAGTCAGCTTCTTTATTTGTATTTGCCATACTGTTATTCCAATTAAATTCACAACTGCTGTTTGCTGTTGAATATGAGCAGATTCTTAATGAATGTAAATGTTTCTCTTTCTGCATATACATATTTCTCCTGAATTGTTTTGGCTCCCTAATTTGGTGAAATGTTCTTTGTTAAGATGAGGTTTCTTCTTTCACTTGCTGGCAATTCTTCTCTATTTCAAGCACTATTTCTTATTTTTGGTGAGTGTATTTGGGACTACCCATTTATTTCCCCACTCTGCACACTAATGCTGCATTCTGGGATTCATTCATTTGCAGAGTCACTAAACAGCCACAGATTACAGTTAGTCCTTGACTTACAACAACGGTTATGGTTTAGTGACTGTTCAAAATTACAATGGCACTGAAAAAAGTGATTTATGACCACTTTTCACTCTTACGACTATTGTAGCATCCCCATGGTCATGTGATCAAAATTCAGACACTTGGCAACTGACTCATACTTATAATGATTGCATTGTCCCAGGCTCATATGATTGTCTTTTGCAATCTTCTGACAAGGAAGGAACTGATAAGTGAACTCAATCCCATTCCTTTTCAGCATGAAATGATTGTTTGCAATGAGGTAGAGTTACTTCTAATCACTTCTTCCTGAAAATTTGAACTTTTATGATGTGCATTTGTCATATTTGTACTTAGAATTGGTAGTATATGGTGAAAACAGTTTAGCTATGTGACTAAAAGAATGGCACATAGTCCTTCATAGTCATAAGCTCATTACTGTTTGTGTTTTTGTGGACACTGAAATATGGATGGTTCAAAGGGGGTCACAATAATAAATTTCCACTGGTAGGTTAATTAAATTGTTCTGTACTCATTACCCTGGTAACTTGCTAATTCTGTCTTTATCTCTCAAAGTTTAGTCGAGAATGAGAAAAATGAGAATTGGCAATGAGTCAAATTGCATATGGGGCTTTAATTACTCAAATGGCATAATTTAAATGCCATCATTTACAGACTAGATGTAACCAGGGCGATCATAAGATTAGGAATTAACACAGTAGAAACTTTCTCAATACAGGATTTCTAAGGTATGTGATCTGCATCTGCTACAAAAACACAGCACACACACACACAAAAAATTGATATTTGGACATGGAGAGACCCCAAATCTCTGCGAATTGAATAGGACCAATTTTTAAGCCTCAGAGAGGTTTATGGTTCTCTCACCATAACACAGATACCAGTGTCTCTGATATCTCTCACCTACTAAATAACAAGAAACTTTTCATCTCTTGCTCTGTTGTAACAGAAAATCTATATTGCACTTGCCTGCATACTTCATGGCAGTTTCCTCAGCTTGCTATTATCATAACTTCCTAACCCACCTAATAGCAAGATTTTGCAGATGGATTACAAAATTCTTCAAACTAAGCACAGGACGGAACTTGCTGCCTGATTAATAGGGAAGAGACAGGCAGAGGGTCACACACATTACAACTTGCTGCATGTCAGTTTATTCCAATTTAGTGACTATTAGATTTTGTAGTGCCTCCAATACCTTTGTTGGCAGGATATATAATGGATGGACTTGCCTTCTGCAGAAAAGACAATGCAACAGCCCCTTTCTGCTCCAAGGCAGCTGAATTACGGTCCTCAAAAACGTTTATAGCCACAATAACCTAGTAATCATTTGCAGCATTGCATCTGCAGGGAATCAGGACTTTTAAAAAATAAAATAAAATAGGCCTCCTTCAAATTGGGGAGTGAAGGTAAGATAGAAATAAGAAAAAAATCTACATGGATTTTTGCCTGGTCACACCTTAGTTTTGCAGATCAAGCCTTTCCTGGTTGATCTTCAGAAACAGTAATGCCCCTATGACAGGGGTCTTCAAACTTGGCAACTTTAAGACTTGTGGGCTTCAACTCCCAGAATTCCTCAGCCAGCCCGAATTCTGCGAGTTGAAGTCCACAAGTCTTAAAGTTGCCAAGTTTGAAGAACCCTGCCCTATGTTAATAAGCAGACTTACCAAATCTGCTGCCTTCTATTCCTATAGTCTTTGCTATGAAAGTTATAGTTCACTAGGAGTAAATCTCAATTTGAAATTATTTTTAATGAAAAAGGGATGATTTTTTCCCCTTTAAACAAATTTTAAAACAAGATATAGAGTCACTAAAGTTGGAGAATTTAGAAATGAGAAAAATGAGCTGAAGGGGGATTAATCACCTGCTGCTTCTGTTCTCTGAATCAGATCTATTTCTATACCACTTTTTAGATCAGCTTCCCCAACCTGGGAATTATTCAGAGGATAGTTTAAACTCCCTGAATTCTCTGCCACATAGGAATTCTGGAGTTAGAGTCTAGCCGACCAGTAGTTAGCAAGATGGGTGGACAAAGTTACAGAGATGATGAGTGCACCATTGGAAGACCTGAAAGAACATGTTGGGGATAGACCATCATGGCACCATAGTGGAAGACCTGAAAGGACATGTTGGGAATAGACCATCATGGAGAAAAATCTGATTTGAGTTTTGTATGACACATACACATTTACAATGACATTTATTGAAGAGAGATCTCTTACTTTGATAAATACTGGCCTGATGTGAGATTTTTTTCCTCTGTGTTCAAGCAATTGGTTGTACTCGGAATCAAAGCCAGTTCTGGTTGGATGATTGTAGCTGAAGCAACTGCTCTAGCTACCAGCTCCATTGCATCCTGCACATAATCTTCAAAAAAAGACTGTGTCGTTTTCCCATGAGCTATAAGACCCAGCGGCAAACCTTCTGTCCTCAACTCTTCTACATTGTGCGAATCCCCAAGAATCCAATGAAGTTCAGGCGGCATAACTCCAAATTGTGTGGTTATCTCAAAAACCCTCCTTGTGCTTTCCATGTCACAGCCAAACATCACCACTGTTGATGTTGTATCCTTAATGTTCTCCAGATGAAATTGCAGATAGGTCAAGAGGTCACTGGCGGATGTGAGGTTTCCTGTGATATTTATAATGGATCCCAAATAAAATTTGGAGCTCTGCTGAGTAAGGAAGAGAAAATCTGTGATGTTCCATTCTTCCTGGCACACCATCAAACTAAAATTATACCAGTTGTTCAAGGCCAAGATTGAAAAAGTGACATCAGCATCAAAACTCAGGGAACGTTCTAAACTCAACTGCAGGTGAAGGGGATTCTGTAAAATAAGAAAAATATTGGTTAGAGACTCTTAACTGGAAAGATGTTCAGATTTTGTGTGCAATATGGTTAAATGTGCCAACTATGTTGCTGGAAGCCCTATAGAACCTATTTGCAGATACATTCCTGTATCTGAATTTCCAGCATTTAAATCTCCAGTGATAATATTCCTAAGAATTTATAATAAGCCAGTGATGTCATTCCTAAAGGGTGATAAGAGAAAATCAAATCCAATTTCTCTTTCTCTTACTTACCATCATTTGGGTGTTAAGTATATCCATAGTCTTTTTTATAAAAGCAGAGAGGCAAGCTCATTAAATGTATAAGAGATAATGCTATTTAAATCAATAAACACCTTGTAATGTCTATTATTGTCCTGAACTACTGGATTAAAAATGGTGATGGCCACAAATTCTACAAGACTTCATCTACATTCTTGACTGCATTGCAGAGATCTTTCTTTCTTTCTTTCTTTCTTTCTTTCTTTCTTTCTTTCTTTCTTTCTTTCTTTCTTTCTTTCTTTCTTTCTTTTCTTTCTGCCTTTGAGACAGAATTGACTCCTGGCAACAGCATAGATTAGTCTCTACAGTTTTCTTGGCGAAGTTTTTTTGGAAGTGGTTTGCCACTACCTCCTTTCCAGGGCTGAGAGAGAGTGCCTGGCCTAAGGTTACTAAGATAACTTTGGGTAAGACCAGAACTCGCCATTTTTAGCCTGGTATCTTAACCACTATGCTAAACTGGCTCTCATTGCAGCGACATATTCCATGGAGATTTTCAGTCATCCAGGTCATGGTTGTCCCAAAGTTCCTTTTTCAAGAAGCATCTAGACTTTCTTGGTTCTTTTTTTAAGATGTTTCGTTTCTCATCCAAGAAGCTTCTTCAGGTCAGAGCTGAAGAAGCTTTTTGGATGAGAAACGGAACATCTTCAAAGAAAAACAAGAAAGCCCCATTGCCTCTTGAAAAAGTACCTTGGGGAGTGACACATTCCATTAAAAGAAGCTATAAATAATCTAACTAGTATTTGTGGAAACTTTGCTTTGAGAAGTCAACATCATTAAAAGGGTTTGGATGCTGTTACCTACAAAACCTTAGTATGCCTCTGAGGTTTCGGTCAATATCTGAAAGGAACAGAAGTACTTGGACAATGGAAGGTAGAGCCATTTTCTATTATCAGCTGCACTAAATTCTGTACAATGTCTAACTGAACATATAACATATAACCCTAATCCATATGCAGGGTCCAAACTCTAGGTTTCTTCCAACCAACTAGGCAGGTAACCTGGTAGCTTTGAGACGCTAGGATATAAAACCATCTTTAGCCTGAGAAATGAACCTTGGCCTGCATCTCATTATTGTTTACTCATAAGGAAGTCCCACTAAATGTAACTAGAGTTGTCTGAGAAAATCCCCCTGAACTCAGTGTAATCATTTTTGAGGACTGAACTGTCTGTGAAATAGTTACCTCTGATATCAAAGCAGTAGCTTAGTTTAGATTTATTTATTTAGCGTATGGTATATCATTTATGGACTAGCAATATACATTAACATTTCATCTAGATTAGTAGAACACAACATTAAAATATAATTGCATAATTCAGATGCATCTATAGCTTCATATATGAGCTATCATTACCAGGAAATTTCATTTATTTCCCCACCCTACCATTTCATTCAGGATGAACTGCAGATGGAATACACATATACAATCTACCCAGTTAAAATCTCCATGTTATTACTTTTCCCTTTTCAAAGGAATCCTTCTGAAAAAATGTGAACCCTTCATCTTATTTTTTTTTGATTTTTTGATCTCCTCCTCCTCCTCCTCCTCCTCCTGTTCTATAGCTCCTTGCAGTTATATAATCAGTTAGAAAATCAGTCTCCTGCCTCACTTAGACTAGCATGATAATACTGGCTAGTTCAGCTCTTCAGGTTATCAAGTATGATTCTCCCAGCCACAGCTGAAAATGCCAAGAATCAAACTTGAGGCCTTGGCCTGCAAGTTGTTTTTTTTTTTTTTTTACTTCTGGGTTAGTTCTTTATCTACACCTGATATCTCTACACCAGGAATGTCAAACTTGCGACGTCATGTGACATCGTGCAACGTATTAGGCCGGTTTTGCCATTGCTGGCAATGGGATGGGCAGTGGCTTCCATGTGACGCGTGCGGCCCGCGGGCTGGCAGTTTGACACCCCTGCTCTACACCATAGATGTCAAACTCACTCGTGTCACATGATGTATCGTGATGTGTTTTTTTTGCCTTTGCGGAACTGGCATGGGCGTGGCCTGTGTGGGATGCATCCGGCCCGCAGGCCACCAGTTTGACACTACTGCAAGTCTACACCAACTATTTTTAATATAAGATTCAAAGAGGCAGAAAAATGTGAGGACTGAGAGCAACAAGGAGAGGTAGCCTAATAAACCTAGACCAGGGGTAGGCAACCTTGGCTCTTTTATGACTTGTGGACTTCAGCTCCCAGAATTCCTGAGCCAGCCATGTTCTAGACCAGTGATGGTGAACCTTTTAGAGACTGAGTGCCCAAACTGCAACCCAAAGCACACTTATGTATTGTTGTGTGCCAGGTGGGCATGGCCCATTGGGTGGGTGTGGCTGCAGTGGTAATGGCAGACTGGGTGGGACTAAAAAGTTCAATCAATCAATTCCAACTTTGAGAGATCTTTTTTTTTCCCTGCGAGAAGTTGAAATTGATTGATTGAACCTTTTTTTTTTGCACATGGCGGCAGAGGCCTAAATCGAAAAGTATTATAAGGCGTAGGACTGGGGCAATGGCACGCGTGCCCACAGAAAGGGCTCTGCGTGCCACCTGTGGCACCCGTGCCATAGATTCGCCGCCACAGTTCTAGACTAAGCTACTGTTTCATTTGGAACCATTCCACCCATCTGCTCCAAAATTAAATATTAATCCCATCAGGGTTTTTTTTTCTTAAAGCAAGGTTGATTTCCAAATAAATGCCTAATATGTTCAGGTGAGAATTCTTTGAATGGAAACTGATTTAGATCATCTTAAAATACTTCTGCTCCTTGCAGTGAATAAGGTAGGCAACCTGCTTAATGTCACAAATATCTATTGTTGATTTAAAACATATATAAAAAAGTTAATCATCCTCTCTTTGATTAATTTAAAGCTTGTCTGAATTTATCTTGAAAACAACTTATCCTTGCACCAGATTGTGATTGTGCCGCAGGCTTGTTTAGCATTTTAAAGGAGACAAAGATACCCCAGCCTCATCAGTATGAATATTTTAAGCTTTTAAAGCTGGGGGAAAAAAACACAGGCATTTTAGTAAATAATTATATATTATTTATTCATGTTTCTCCTTGCAAATGTGGATAAACAATGTGGTTTTGTGGTAGTTCCTTGTTAGAGGACATTTAAAGGGGACTGCAATATTCAAATCTTGACTGGCTATTTTAAGTTACAAGCTGATATGTAGTATGGAATTGGGGCTGAAGGAATTTGTAAGCCAAAAGGTTCCCAATTATTTCTATTAAGACCTATATATTTTGTCTCTGTTGCTGAATTGAAATGATTGCAAGTTTCTGTTCTTTCATAACTTTTCTTCAGCCTGAAATAAAGACATTTAAACTTCATAGTGATAACTTAGCAGATTGTAATGATTTTTTTTGTAAAATAGAATTGTAAAGTGAACATATTTAATCTAGTTTGCATAGTAAAGTCCTAATTTTTATTATCTAATGAACTAACCTAGCTAACTCTTGCTATAAGATCAGTACTTTTTTCTTCTATTCCTGTAAATTGGTGATTTGTAAAAAAAAAAAAAAAAAGGCTAGGTAGAGTGATAAGAACTCAGTTAACTTTTCCTGCAATTAATGCAATTATTTTCTGTGACTGACTGAAGGAATGAACAATCTGACTTGGGTCTAATATTTTTTTAAAGCAATGCATGCAGTATTCTTTGGAACATAGATAACATTAGCTTTCTCTTTTTGAGGACCATTAGGTGGCACCCTGCATCCACTTTCCAGATCAGCATTGGTCCTCTAAGGCTGACTTTCTCCTTTGATTTGATTGCCACAGAACACCTGGCTTGGCCTGAAGGTCTCCTGCATCTTGAAGTCTGTTCTGCAGTTCAACAATTTCCAATATACCCATAAAATATGAATACAAGTAATATGTGCCGGTAAACATGACTCTGTAGTAAAAGAAAGGTTTTTGTCTGGTCCCTGGATCATATTTTCTCCCAGTTTTTGGAATAGTAATTTCAAGAGGAGCAGCATGAAGCTATTTTGATTAGGAAACAATGATGACAGGAGCTTAATAATGCAGTGACCAAAGACCATTGAGAAAGATGGAAGACAATTCAGTACTGAAAACAGTAGATTTTTGTGCAGTGAAACTTTGTGACTCCTTTTTTGTCTTTGTGCTCCTATTTGGGACTGCTTGATACATTAACAAAGGGAAGAAATGTGTGTTGGTTGACCTTAAAATGTTGTCTTTTTGAGTCAATTCACCAAGTTAAATTTAGTCAAGCTATTCTCCAAAGCGCCTGAAGGCAGGACAAGAAGCAACGGATAGAAACTAATCAAAGAGAGAAGCAACCTAGAACTAAGGAAAAATTTCCTGACAGTTAGAACAATTAATCAGTGGAACAACCTGCCTCCAGAAGTTGTGAATGCTCCAACACTGGAAGTTTTTAAGAGACTGGACAGCCATTTGTCTGAAATGGTATAGGGTTTCCTGCCTGAGCAGGGGGTTGGAGTAGATGACCTCCAAGGTCCCTTCCAACTTTATTATTATTGTTATTGTTATTATTATTATTCATGATTCAAAATTCTCAGTTCTCCAAATGTTGCTCTGCAGTTAATGAATGAGTACTTATATCTATATCTACATCTACATCACCAATGCAAAACCTTGTACGTTCTACAAAGTAAATTACAATAACTAAAACAATGTATATTAGTTTCGGGGAAAAATATATGAAGAAACTATGTATATCAGACCAAACTACAAATA